TGTTCGAGTGCACTTTTGATACTGCAGACTTTGAATAGAGTTAAAAAATCCTAAGCCTAAAACATTAAAGTCTGGGCTATTGGGGCTGGTTCTTCATTGAAATTCCGGATACGCCGCGCGTCTCCAACATGCTTGTCGTAAGGCATTTGTGAGGGCTTGCGTTGTCTTGTTGAATAGTGACACCCGTTCGCAGTGTTGAGCGGGGAATCTTGGCCTTTATTGCCGGCACGACGTTATTTAAAAACATTTCTAAATAAACTTTGGCGTCGACAGATTGTGGAGTCGTCACTATTGTGCCCTTTGCGCGATTCTTGGAGTTGCGTTTAGCAGGCAATTTTTCAACAAATGGCCAAACGCCAATTTTGCCGTCAAATATATTGCCGTTGAAGTCAACACGGGGGCGGGCAATCGCCGCCAAAAACATAACTTTTGTTATAAATCGTTTGGACTTCACAAAACGAGCCGCCACAGCTTCATCCTCGTACACGTAAAACTTTCTCTTTACTTTTGTCAAATAGAACCATTTTTCGTCAATATGCACACAATCGTGCATATCGTCAAAAATATGATTTCCATTCGACAAAGGTTGAAGGAAAGAAATAGCGTACCGCAGGCGTTCTTGGATGTTGCTTGGAGTCAAAAATGGCTTCACGTAACTCGAACGAGCCTTGAGCCGGGGACATTCGGCCATGTGCCTAAGCACCGTCGTCCTTGGAATTTGACATGCGTGAGAAAGCGCCCTTGCAGTCTGCCGCGACTCCTGCGGCACTTGGCGAATGGCATCTTCAATCTCTTCACTTGTGCGCGTTTTTTTGCGACCTGAATTGCCTAAACAAGTACAGCTCTGTCAAATAATATTTTTCAAATTCGATAATTCGATAAATTCAAAGAGGTACACCTCGGATTTTTGACGAAACATCGGCGCTGATGTGGCCTTCACGGATAGAGCTCTGTCCACGGGCCCACACGCGATGCACTGTGTCGGGGTGGCAGTTGTGCTGTCTGGCTAGCTTGACAATGGCACCTCGAGGTAGTATGCCAGAGGACGAGACAGCAAGTAGGCTTTCGTAGATGGAACGACGCTCGTCGTGGTCGAGGTGGGTTTTTGCCACCTTTTGGGCCACGGGGATTGCGCGGGCGGTTGGCAATGCTGGCGGTAGGTTGCAAAGGCATGGTTAAGGGTAGCACGAAGGTCGTGTGCTGTGCAGGCGTGCTCAATATATATTTTGATCAAGCAGTGATGGCCTAAAGTTTGGACCAAATGACACGTCATTTTTCCCGCCCATTATCTCATGAACCAAAAAGCTTTAGATCACTCCCAAACTACCCAATCAAAGCTGAGCTATTGCGCTTTCTTGTGCACCAATCGACATGCGAATTGAGCGACATTTAGAAAAATGCCGCCAATCGGAAGTCGTACCCTGCAACTATTTCGGACCAGAGTAGTATACATGTATACTACATAGTAGTAAGTATAGTGTGTACAAGATTAAATAGGATCAAAAATGGATTCGAATGCTATTTGGTGAAATGACTCTCAAGTCCAAATTTGGGTGAAATGCACAATAACTGTTACCTAAATTGTGTTTCTAGGTCCTACCAAAGGAAATGGATGCTGCAATGCAGATGCTCTTAAGGTGTACTGTACCTGGTATGCGATGATCCTCAGGACAGAGCACGACATACCAACATAAAAGAATGCTACAGCTGAAACCAAAAGACATGTTGACCATACAAATTGACTGTGAGTACAGGTACTGGAGCTTGATAATTGAGTACTTCGAAGTACTTGTACAGGACTACAAATACCAGTACAGTATGCATTTCAAAGTACCGTCACTACTGTACTGTACTGTACGTCGAAAAATGAAATACCAGTACAATAGCGTTACTGCAAAGTGCCTTGTGTACGACAGGAAAGGCGTCAAGCTATATCATCCAAATATATGACTATTTCGTCCAGGTTGTCATGTCCCAACCTTGTCACTACTCTGACCTAATACCATCTCGCGTCATGGCGTCCGTTATCGAGTGGTTGAATGGTGGCAGAGCTGAGGACAAAATGTCGGCAGCCGCACGACTCACACAGCAGCGACACCTGAAGTACCGCGCAGGCAAGAAGGCCCGGGCTCTGGAACTGCTGCAGACCAAGGACGCCCTCGAAGCGACGGTCCAGAGTTTGCAGGACCGAGCCCGATCTCGAAAACCCACGAGCCTGTTGTCATGGAAGAGCATCTCCGTGGCGCTTAGGGACAGCAGGGACGACGCGCATCGACAGAACCGCGATCTGCGGGCCCAGATTCACGCATTGCAACGGCTCATGAGCGAGTTAGGAGCGTGGGTCGACATGACGGTACTCACTCCTCGTTTGACTTATGTACTTGGTCATGCCGTATCGAGTAGAAGGAACTGAACCCGTCGTGTCCGACGTGGCGAGACACGAGCCTTCCGCAGCACCCCGAGTCCCGTCGAATGGCCAAGGCGTGGATCACCCAGCGCATGCTTCACAGCACCGACGCCATGTTCCAGCAGCATGGGTTTCCAGCGTGGGATGCTCCCCAGGAAGTCAAGGATGTGTGGTGCGACGAGGACTTTACCTTCTCGGACATGGGCATCGTGTGCAGAAGTCGGCGCAATTACATTGACCAGCAGTCTCTAGAGGACGCTATTTCGTTCATCCAGAACCATTGTCTGGCTGCGGTGCTCATCCTAGCTCCCAAAGACACTGTAATTGTAGCAGTACTACTAGTAGTAGTATCTACCACGATATTCACTCGCTAGTATGTGTTAGATCACTTATGAAACCCAAGAAACGAGTACCCAGCTCAACACAGTAGTGACCCCCACTGGCGAGTTTGTCAACATCCTCTGCGCCGCCTTCCATCAAGGCCCTGACCGATGCACGCTCGTGGTCCGCCATATCGTTCAAGACGACTTGCATGCTCATCCTTCGGGGTGTCGGCAGCGCAGTCGCACCATGTGGTTCGTTTGTTTTGATTAAAATGGCCAGATACATGACGTACAGAGTAGGTTTGACTTCCTTCGAGTACGTGGCGGCTGCACGCGGAAGCGAGTGCTCACGTTTACGTCCCAGTGCCATTTCACAGGAGAGTTCGACTTGGAGGCGGAAGCCAACACGCTGGGGCTGAGTCTAACCAACTGCCCCGACCATTTGAAGGAGTCGCGGTTTCGTCTCCATGTTGTACAGATGACACAGAGTCTGCGAAGTCAAGTCCAACGGGACCATTTCCACGCGACAAAGTGATAGTAGTCGGACAAAAAAGAGTGCAATCCATAGGCGACCCTGGTTGATAGCCTCGTTAAAATTTATACATCTTTGACGACATACAGTACCTTCCAAAATATGCAAGAGAGCATTCCTGCATCGCTTGTTGATATGCTGAGATTTCACCCCCAAGCAAATTATGGAAGGTATTTCATGTAATTTCTGCTGAGCTTGTCCTACGTTTGAAGTCTCGTAACTAAGTCATCGCCAGTAAGTTAGAGTACTGTACTGTATGCGATGAGGCTGCATTTGCAGTATTAGTTTATGCAGGACCTATCGTTGTAGCACTTGTCCATTTTGCTCGACGAATATCTGACAGTGAATTGTGTAATTTTCGTATGTTATTGCATTTTCCGGCCAAGTGTTTGACTGTCAATAACGTATGACAGGTGTTTGACCATCGAAATTCTCAAAACCTCTTATTAATATACCAGTTCTACTATTACATAATATTAATAATAATACTACTGTAGTACTAGTTATCTCTATAAATTGTACAAGTATTTAATTTAGAAGGCATTGTAATTAGACTAGTTTTCAGAAATAGCATGAGCCAATCAAAATCGATTTACCTCTTTTTAGAAAAAGACGTCAAGGACTTCTTTTTCTACTTTTGGCATAGTACGTTGAGTAAAAAATCGCAGAAAAAGAGGTACTCCGGAGTACTCCGGAGTACTACGTAACAAATCAATTATTTCATTGCAATATGCTTGACGAAATTCTTCTGCCTTTTCTTCTGCTTCTGTCGATTCATCGGCATGTCGCCCCAGTTTGGAATATTAATATAAACAAAACAATATTACTGTATATTGCACCCTCCACAGAAACGAATGGACTAATTGGCGAAATGAATACACTAAAAAAATCCAAATTTGGGTGAAAAGCACATTACTTTTATAATACGAATGTCCCAAATTACCTCCACGTTTCAACTTCGACTCACCTCGAAATTTCACTCATTTACCCAATTTCGACGAAATTTGTAGCTGGGAATTCGGTGTTTTCCTTGCTCATATTTATATTACAGGTAATTTGGGACAGAGTAGTACTGTTTTAGACGTTAAGTGCGAGGGTTCCCAGCTCAAACTCGACATGCGGAGCGGACTGGCATAAGTACGTGGCTACGTGGAAATGTCCATTTTTGCGGGCATTGGTCACGGCCATTTTCACATTGGCAGGGACATTGCGTTGCCTTAAAAACGTCACCAAGTCCAAATGTCCACTAGCTGCAGCGTACGACATGGCGCGGGTGGTGGCGCCTTCGTGTCGATGGTGCAGTAAGAACTTCACAATCCCCAAATGTCCATTAAGACACGCGTAGTCCACGGCGTCAGTCGTACATGTCTGGCCGTGGGCGTGGAGAAATTTCACAACGTCCAGATGTCCATGTTGGCTGGCCGCATCCATGGCCAGGCTGGAGCTGACGGTGTCGTAATAGTGTCGAAGGAGAAACTGCACCATGGTCAAATGTCCGTGGGTGGCTGCCCACACCAGCGAGTCACTAGAACACCCTTCGGAGCGATGCGATTGCAAATACGCCACGACGTCGATATGGTTGAAACGAGCGGCCAAGTTTATGGCGGCCTTCGTGCACCCTTCCTGACGATGTTGATTGAGGTAGGTCACGATGACCAGATGGCCGTCTCGAGAAGCGACGTCCATGGCGTTCGTGGTTCCAGGGTGGTTGCCAAGGAGCCGGAGAATATCAAGCTGCGCCGCCCAGGCAGCAATATCTACCAGGGGATATGAGGTTGGGAAGTGGCATCGATGCTGGCAAGCCCATTCCACGAGACCAACGTCTCCAAAGTAGATGGAGGACACGACGACGAACGCGGCCATGTCGCTGGAAGATGAGAGCAGTCGAGGAAGGCGCGAGTAACCATGGACGCTTAGCCACGGAGTAAACAGGTGGTGGAAGTGTCCGATTGCTGTGGCGAGTTGAAAGTTGTAGTACGACATGGTCACCTTCTGCGTAAGATACGACAGGACACGACCGCTTTCGCGGACATACGCCAGAAGTTCGTGCATGTCTTGGTAACTGCCTCCTTGGAACTGGCCCATGAGAGGAACGACGTCCGCATGTCGAAGCACTGCCAGCGCCGCCATACTTCTGTAGTACCGGGCAAGCAAAAGTCGATAATGCAACAAAACCCTCGATAATTCATTGCCTTTTAAAATAAGTATATCGTTATAGAGAATATAATTGCAGAATTTGATAATACTCCAGTCATTTTACACCGCGGTAAGATGAGTGTTCATGACGGTTTACAAGCAACGAAGTCTCAAGTCTACGACGGGCCTCAGACATCGCAACCTCGCCGTGAGCCCAAGCAGGAAGATGCGCCCTCGTACTTGCATCAGGTATGTAGGTAGTGTATGCACACCTCGTCGTCTGTTCCTTGCGTCACATGCGGCACAGGTCAAACATGAATTTGCAGATCGACCCGAGGTGTTCAAGAATTTCCTGGGCATCATGAAGCAATTCAAGACCGAAACGTACATCCTCACGAGGATCCTTCAACTTAACCCCTCCTGGTTAGGATCGATACGTCTCAAGTCATCCGCCAGATCTCCGAGCTCTTCCGTGGACATCCCCATCTCATTCTCGGATTCAACGCGTTCCTTCCGTCCGACCAACGCATTCAACCGAACTCCCTCGACCTCCATCCCCTATCCTCTGCAATCGATCAGACGCTTCCGCCGCCCGCCATCACGCCCAATGCGACTTCAACGCCTTCGCAACAAATCCGACCACAGAACCAAGGGCAGCTTTACCTGGATCAGGTACCCAAGGAATGCCGCCCGCGACGTCCTCATGTATACATCAGGTCAAGCATCAACTAACGGACCAACCTGAGTTGTTCAAGCAATTTCTGTCGCTTATGAAAGCGTTCCAGGCAGACACGTACGTTACCCTGGAACGCTGTCACATTTATAGTACATTTGGTTGATTTACCATTCCTTCGCTAGGCTCAACACCCGGGACGTCGTCCGTCGCATCGAGGTGTTGTTCCACGGCCATCCCGACTTGGTCACAGGGTTCCTCACGTTTCTACCCCCTGGGGATCCTGTTCTAGAGCAAGTTGCTTCCACCCACCACACTCAAACGACATAGTTTACCCATTCGATTCTCATATGTCAATATACACCAGCTACCGTATACATCATCTCATATCCGATACTAGGTAATAGTACGATATACTAGTAAATACGTACTTCATTCCGTAAACCCTGAACACTTTCCCAGCATTTGCAGTATATCTCTACCGTCCGTACTAGGTAGCACATAAGTATTGCATTTGACCCTCTAGATGGATCCATCAATGAGTGAGTGGTCACACTTATAAGCGAGTAAGGCGCACTTGGTTGAACCCTTCAATGTCGACGTGGGTGGGTTCACGAGGGGCCGTGACAAACGCCACGCCAGAGTCGGACGCGACGTACGCCGCCTTCCACACGTGGTTGGAGTACGTGTCCTGGCGGTAGCTGTCGCCGGGCTGCAGTACCGCGTACTGGGTTTCACTCTGGTCCGTGTCGACCCATCGAAGGGACAGCACCCCCGGCGTCCGGTTGCGGAACACCAGCACCGTTGGGACGCTGTCGTCGAGGTCTTGAGGTCTTGTGGGCACGAGGTTGGCGCCGATCACGAGTTGGTTGACGCCGTGCACGTCCACGACCGACGGGGTCGGGGGCGCCACGACGTACGCCAAGGGCTCGCCCGTGTCGGCAAACGCGAGCTTCCACGCGTGACGGGAGATGGTCGGCTGCTCGTACCGGTGGCCGGGCTCGATGCGCTGGTACCATGTCTCTTCGCCTTCGTATGCGACCCACACCGCATCGACGGCGCGAGGAGTGCTGTTGATAAACACCACCGTCGTGTCGTCGCCGCCATCTGCCGAGTGGACCTTTTCCAGCCAGTTGACTACCAACAACACATGACGGTGAGAATGAGTGAAACCAGTGTGTGTCTAAAAGAGCAGAGAAAAACCATACTAGTATTCACGAATGCTCCACATTTTTTAGGCCGAGTCTGGATGATGCCAGTGAAAATTTGATCATAAATGATATTTTCTGACAGAGAATTCCCTTTTCAAATGGGAGGTGAGAAAATATTTTCAAAATATTTGGATATGACCTCTGGATGCCATGATGGAAGGAGACCTATCGATAGCACAAAACAGTAAAAATTCGATAGTTGCTCAAACTTTTTTCTGTTAGAAAACAGAAAAAACTCGACGTATAATGTCACTTTATGTCAAGTTTGGTAGCCAAACACACAAAAGCTGTCGTTTGAAAAATTGGTATAATATTTCTGAAAAGTTGCAAAAAGACGTGTTTTCTGACATTTTTGTAGAATTAAACGGGATAAAACCTCTAAAACATGCAACTCGACTAGACTTCACGGAAATTCTGCCAGTACCTTGAGTGGCGACTGGGGACGACACAACTTCTCCGGTGGAGGGCACGGGGACGGCTAATGGCGCCAACTCTGGCACGACAGTCGCAACAGGAAGGACTGAGGGGGCGGCGACCCCTTGGCTGAGCTTGTCGGCGATGGTGGGCACTGGAGAGGCATACTCGTACCCTTGGGACAGCTTATCCTGAAGCGGGGGAGGCGGTGGGGCCACCAGCCCTTGGATGGCTTGGATCTGGCACGCTCCAGGCGCTACAACACCACATGAGACCACAACGAACGAGTTGTATACATGTATACATACCAAAGCCGACAAAGGGCGGCGACTGCTGCAGGCGCATGTGCAGAGGACGCAGCGACCCCGCGGGCTTGCCGGCCGCGCTTTGCAAATAGAGCGTCGGCAGGTCCAAGAGCGCGCGGGCGGTGGTTTGGACCTGTCCGATGAGTTGGCGCTTCTTTTCGCCGTTGTCCATGTCGAACACTTGCGCAAGAAGGGGGCGGTCCAGATCTCCGTTGGCTAGGCGCTGGAGGGTCACGTTGAGCTTCTCCCACACTGGGTTCAAGTTGCCGTCCACGACCTAGATACATGATGGAGTTAAGTCGCAGCAAGAGGAAAGTGCTGGGAGTGCTTACTTCGGTGCGGAAGGCAGGCAAGTAGCTCCCATCCTGCACCATGCGACTCACGAAAAGGACTCTATCGTGGCATTAGAAAGAGGTTGGAAACGGCAAAAACGTACGGGTCGGATTTGTTGAAGAGGCCGTCCAGGTTGGTCAGGTCCTTGGCCGACCACTGCATTGCCAGGACGTCCGATGTCGGGTTGATGATTTCGGTTTGCACGTAGACGTTGAGCGGAGGTTTCTCCTTCTTGAACAACCCGCGTGCATCGCCGCCTGTCGTACGCAGCGTCGTCAGTTGCGCCAAGTTCTCCACGAGTTGCCTCACGCTAACTTCGACAACGCCAAGCAATTGCTGATCCTTGAGGTTCTTGGACGTTGCCTTTTCTTCGTCGTATACCTCAATCTTGAGCATTTCCCCGTCCACGGGGGCGTCAAGCTTGAAACTTTGGAGAAAGGACGGGTTTGCCAGGTTCCGAATGGTCTCGGTACGACCGAACGGCGCGCCTACACGTCATGCGGATCGTCATCGTCATGCATGCGGACATGCAAGGACGGCTTCATGGGAATACCGTTCAAATAGACCACCACGAAGGCATCCGCCTTGGCGCTCAACCCGCCGACCGTGAATTGCACTTGAAAACTTGCCATGATGTGTGTCTCTTGGATCGCAAAATGGGAAATGACACAGTGGCCTCTCTGCTGTTTTAAACGACGTTTATCCGGAACCAAGCAAACATATCCGGACGTTGTGACCAATCCAATCAGAAATCACGCGATTTATATTGATTGATACTCTGAGTAGTGTACTGTATTGGACAATTATCCGGCATCCGCATACTCAATCACCCATACAAACTGGTACTGTATATATAAAGGGGAACCAACATTCCTACTCCTTCTTTCGCTTGGGGGCCGACTCGTCCGTGTCCTCGGGTGGCGGCGGCGGCGGAGACGAATCGTCCTGAGGTTCGTCTCGAGGTCGCTTCTTGCTGCTCTTGACGTCCTCTTCACTCAGACCGCTCTCGTCTTCTTCGCTCAACGTCGCGTCGTCGTCCTTGTTGCTGTCGTCCTCCACCGAGCCGAGGTACTCGACCGACAGGTGCGGTTCTACGAGCCACTTGGACGGTTCCGTGTGTTTCGTGCGCGGGGACGGCGCCCACAGCTGCGTCGTTGCCTTCTTGTCGACCCCGGGGTTGTTGGACGGGGACGCGAGCGGGGTCTTGCGCAACACACCGGACGCAAACTCCATCCAGAACGCGCCTTCTCCTTCGTCGTCAAAGATGGGCTTGGCGGCTGTAAAGTACGCGCCTTTCTCCAAGGGCGACTCGAGCTGGCTCTGGTAGAGCGCCGCCAGCTTCTGACACGCGTCGTCCGTGGCCATGTGCTGCATCTGCTTGAGCAGCAACGTCACGAGCTTGTCCATCGTAAACAAAAAGTACGACGACGACCCCATCAAGCTGCGGCAGCAGTCTTCGTATCTACACGCAGTGAGGCTTAGTCTAGTATGACTACTAATAGATCGGTCAACCTTGGGCTCTCAATCGACTGGTCGATCAACGCGTACAACTTGGACATGAACGCTTCATAGTCGCCGGTCTGCGTGTCCACCTCGGCCACATGATGCGCGTGCGCGAGCATGGCGGCGGCGGGGTTGATGGTGCGGCGGTTGCGGTTGCGCTTGGCCTTCTCGCACAGCTCCCGCGCCTGCTCCAGCCGACTGTACAGCACATGGTACAGCCGCACAAACACGTACGCGGCTTCGCTGAAGAACCCTCGAGATACAGGGGCTACACAGCACACCATTACGACGAGTCAAACCAAAGGATACGGTACCAGAGTCCCGATCGTCCGACACGACCACGTTCGGCGGAAAGTCGGCGGCCTCCTGGATCGTGAGCGACTCGACATGGATGTACGCGATCCCCACGGGCAGCTGCACCGTCGCGATGCCCCGGTTGGTGTCCACGGCCTTGACCACGCCTTCCCCAAAGTCCGACACGACCTCCGTGCCCGGGACCAGCGACTTGGACTTGGACGCCGCCACACTCACCGTCGACCGCACCTAATACAAAATGGCATCCCCTTCTTCAACCACCACAACCGGCTTGTTCTCGTATCATTCTGAAAAAAAAAAGAACGAAAAAAAACAGAAGGAAAAAAGAGAAAGCGTTGAACTGGTCCAAATCCACCCACAAAGCGAAAACAAACATTCTTTTTCTCTGTTTCAGTGACCAAGAGATAGATATATATATATATATTTCGATATATATATATATATAAATATTGTACCGGTTTGCGTTTGAGCCAGGATTCGTCCAATTGGAAAAACGGAAAAAAGAACTGGGTCCATATTTTGCTGATCTTGTCCTTGTCGCCAGCAATCTTTTCCGCGGCGTACGTGAGTAGTCCGAACGCGTCCTTGTGAATCTTGGCGGCGGGCAGCGTGAATATGGCGGAGTCCTTGGCGTCGAGGGTCTTCTTGGCCTCACTCAACAAGTGCTTGGCGGACAGCGCCTTCTTGTCCTTTTGCTTAAAGTAGAAGGAAGAATGGTCCAGACTCTTGTGGTAATTCTTCTCATTCACATCCTTCCACTGCTTGTTCAGGTCCTGCCGGGCACGGCGCCACTCGTCGTCCTTTTGCTGCAGCCGCTTGAAAATCACGGGAATCGCGCCCGCGGGGTGCTTTGCCAGCAACTCGAGCATTTGGTGGCCTAGGCCATCGTTTTAAATCCATTTTAAACACACACATCTCTGGGATTTCAAATCCATTTCAAAACACCAAGCAACACCATGCATTTCGGTTTGAAACGCGTTTCAAACGCCAGATTTCAACTGTATCCATGGTTTAAAACACGTTTGAAACCACCTACCCGCTTCGCCGTAGATGCGCGAAATCGCATTCAAGTGCGTCACGCGCAGGGTGTGCTTGTCCAGCACATAGTTCCATCGGCCATCCGACGAGAGCACGGCCAATTCCTTGGCCAGTGGCGCCAAAATCGCAATCGTCGCCGCGTTCGCGTCGATCACCATGTCGATTTCAAACCTGTTTCAAACGCGTTTCAAACGCTTGGTGGACCATATCTCGATCATACCGTTCGTCTTCGCACTTGAACAGCGCTTCTTCGTACTGATTCTTGCGCATGCTTTTAAAGCTAAAGTCCTCCGACCCCGTCGGGACACTTACCCATGCGTCGTTACATACATGCCGCTCCATGGGGCTCCGAAAGCTGCACGGCGGCAGCGGGTAGCTCGCCGGCAGCGCGCGGTAGCTCGGGGTCGCGCGGCGGCACTGCGACAAGTCCGTCTCAGCGAGCGGGATAAACGGCCAGATCTCGCCGCCAGAGTCATCTTTCGCTTGGCCGTGGGTATGCAGCAACGCTGTAAACTCTGCGACAACGTCAGAGTGTCGGCCCAGCAAGTTTTGCACCATCGCTACGAGGTCATCCCGGCCCACAATTTCTTGCGCATATAGCTCTAGGCATTTCAGGAACTCGCGCCAGCTATCTCGGGATGGCAGCACCTTCTTGATCTTCTCAAACATGTGCCATTCACTGGGATCCATCAGTGTTTGGGTGGTCGCGAGCAAGTCGCGGCGCTGCGGCGGCGTGTCCATCTTGTGTTTGCGCTGCTTGACCAGCCCATCATACGTGGCTTTGTTTCGGCCGCGTTCTTTCTGCACTTGTTTCGAACGGCGTCCACTACCTTGATTCAAGTCCTTGTCGTCGATCGCGTCTTTGAGCAAGTCTTTTTTCAGCTCTTTTTTCACACTTTTTTTCTTCACTGTATCGCATTTCGCAGGATGCGACGACGACGTTGAAGCCAGCAACTTGGCTTGACGGAGCTGCGCCTTCTCCGCCGCCTTGTTCAGCCGTTCCTTGGCCTGTTCTTGCACTGCATCGGGTAGGAAGAACGTAAACTCGCGCAGTAAGTCGGGATGATCACGAAAGAGAAAGCTCACTTGGTCCAGAACTTGCTTGATTGATCCTTGCTCCTTCTGATATGTGTGCAGGATCTCGAGGAAAGCCTTGTACGTTTCTGGCTCGTCGGCAAAGCGCTTCTTGATCGTGGTCACATACAGGATCGCATGGTCAAACTCGACGGGTTGCGGCCCTCCGCCGCCCTTGGCTCCTGCTGGGATGGCCGCTTGCTTGGATGATGGCTGCTTCTTCGATGAAAGCGGCGGTGCCGCCGGCTGGTTGGATGATGCCAGCGCGGCGTCTGACGGCGGGATGCTCACGGGCGGTGGACGCAGCAGACTCATGGAAGAGGTGGACGAAGATGACAGCGGAGGCAACGTGCCATTGTTGTTGGTCGAGGAGGACGTGGGAGGAGGGCCGTTCGGACGGGCTTGAAGCGGTGTCGCAGACGACGGCGCCGGCTGCGACACCGTGTACAGGTCGAGCGTTTCGGGACGGATGCGGTACCCCGGCGGCAGGAACGTGTTGAAGCCAAAGATGAGGTTCGGGTGGCCCTTGAACAGCTCCGACACGCGCTGAATGACGCCGGGGGTGTCGATGCTATAGGAACACGATGAGGAGATGCAACGACGGGTGTTAACATGATGCGATGTGCACTCGACGTACGTTTGGGACTTGAACTCCTTCATCACGTCCAGGAACTGGTTGTACACATCAGGTTGGTCGCCAAATTGCTGCTTGACCTACGACAAGTATCATATTTCAAAGGAATATGAACCATACAGGTGGGGGGAGACCTTACCTGGTCCAAGTACAAGAGCGCGTCTTCGACGCGTAGCTCGCGAATGGGACGCGGGGGACCGATTTGTGGGTTGTTGATGTTCAAATGGGTCGACTGAACCGCGACGGACGGCGGCGGCGCGGAAGCTTGCTGGGCTGTGGACGACGACGACGATGATGATTGCTGCTGCTGTTGTTGTTGTTGTTGCTGCTGCTGTTGTTGTTGTTGCTGTTGTTGTTGCGGAGCAGGACGAGAAATGTCCGTGAAGTAAGGCGGGTACTCGCGTTGATGTGGCGTATTCATTTGCATGGGTCCAGAGCTAAAGGGAGGAGGGGGAAGGCCGCGATTGGGAACGCCGCCTGGACGGGATTGCGGCATCGCCGCGAGAGTGATGTGGGACGATTGGGGTTGTCGAGGCAGTGGAAGCGGATGATGCAAAGAATGCTGGTGTGGAAGCGAGTGGCCTCCATGCAACGGATGAGGGTGCGTGTGACTCTGCGACAGATGACTCATGTGCTGGTTCAACAACGACTGTGGTGCGCCCAGACTCGGCACTTGCACTCCGGAGGACGACGGTTGGTTTGAGGTCGTTGGTTTCGGGGCCATGGGCACAGACGACGAAGACGACGATGCCTGGTTGTTCGTGGAATTGCCTCCTGATGGCGGCTGGTTGCTCGGCAGGACGTTGCTTCGAGGGAACGACGGCGACGGGTTGTATCCTTCCATCTATCTGTCTGCCGCACACAATCCGAAGTGCTTCACCGCTCGCTTAGCGTCAAAATCCCGGATAATTAATCCGGATCCGGATAAGATTCAGAACACCGCACTGTGACACAATTCGTTGAAGTACGAATCGTGGAAATTCCAAGGCTTCCAGTAAGCTTATATACTACTACGTAGTATCGGATGTGTAACGTTAGCGTGAAAAGTATCATCTCACAGCAAAAAGGAATGGACGATGTATCACATGCTTGGATTGATTCAGCTTGGTTCGTAGTATCAACTACTACTTTATTGACAGAGAGATTGAAGTCGCACATAACTGGGTTTAACTAAACCCAGTACTTTTCATCCGGATATCAATCCTTGTTGTAAGCTCAGGTATGTATGCGCATATTTTATATATGGATTACATATATGTGAATTAGTCAACATAGTTTAAGCCTGCTTACATATTGTCGATTTAATCTACCTCACGTGGATGCTGGTCCACAGCGACAGTCGAGAGGTCAAGGTGGACCATGGTAATGGTGTATGGAGACTGTGGTTGGGGGGCCGATGGCGATGTATGAGATGACCAAAGCATAAAGTCATTGTCGGAGAGGGAATGGGTGTTGCCGGGAGCAAGGATGGTGACCACGTCTCTGTCGTCAAAGGTCTCACTCGACGCCCCGTTGAACGCGTACTGGAACACGACGTGGCCGCAGATGGAGAGCTGGTACCCGTGGAAGAATCTGTCCATGGAGTTTGTCCGGACAAACAGCAGGGCCACCCAGCCCACGGCGAGCATCACGAGCATCCATTGAATCTGCACTTGAAAGGTCGCCGCCGCGGTCACTTGAAACGACGAAAACGCGTACCCGACGACGATGGCTCGCAACGACCAACAAGTGAGGAGGAGGCCATACATGGTGCCAGCATGGTACACCCCAAACATATCGGTGACGAAGCACTGGATGATGGCCATGCTGCCTCCGGACGCAAACACAAACGACAGCCCAAACAGTTGAAAGGCACCGAAGGACATGGGGGCTTTGGGCACGACGAGGAGAAACACCAGCTGATACGTGAGCACCAGTGTAAGCACCGCTTTGCGGGCAAATGCTGGGTTAGCGTAGAAGACTCGAATGATTGCGTCGGACACGAGGGGTACAAGCAGTCGCCCTGCAGAGTTGACCACTAGGAAGGAGGTGATGTTACTGCCACGAGAGGATGGATGCCATATAGTATAATACTGTAGAACGTACCGACGCCAGTGGTCATAAGGGAGTTGGTGGTTTCAATGGACGTGCGATAGATGCCAGTGGAAATATCCACGAGCTCCGTGGACAGCACTTGGGCTGGGATGATTGTGGCCGCAAAGGCAATGTACATACATGCAAAGTCGGACGAGAGTATACATTGGACCAATGAGAGTGCCTTGACATGTTGAAAGTAGAATACGTCTGTGCCGTCTAGTTCGCCGCGATGGACCACCGAGTAGTTGACCAGCGTCATGCCTACACAATCGTGAAGGGACCACGACTACTAACTAGTACATAGTAATACAAATCAAACCTATCTTCAGGAACTCGTCTTCAATGTGTTTCGGGTCTGGGGCTTTGTTCTGTGGAACGCAGTGCATGTCGTGTCCATTGACGGTAAAACCAACGGATGGCGTCCGAATCACCAGCGACGTGGCAACCAACACAAGCACAATCACCACCCCTACATAACACAATAATAGGCGGGGGTTTGTATTGAGAGGGAAAGAGGTTTGGTGTACCGTTGCTCCAAAAGACATGGGGGATGTTGGAGACGTCCGTGACGGGGTTGAATATCCCCCCTCGGTTTAGAAACCTCGTGTACACGATGGTCCACATGGCATTTCCAAGCCCAAAAGCACACATGGTCAAGCCAGACACAAACCCCCGCAGGTCGGGAAACCATTTTTGAGTGGCAGACATGGTAGCAATGACCACAAACCCAAATCCCCCGCCAACGAAACCCGCATATCTACGATGGCCAATCAAAAATTCACGTAGCACTAAGAGACGTACCCAATAGTCAGGAACAAGGGGCTGTACGCGCCAACGGCTAGCTGGGCCACGAAGAACCCCACCGCGACGAGAATGGTACCGACCATCATCCCCAATCGGGGGCCCTGGGTCTCCACGAGGGGCCCCGAGAAGGCCGCAGTCAGCCCCATCCACACGTACGTTTGTAGCTGAATAGTCACGCTCTGGTTGGTTTGGCTCCCGTAAAAGTACATGTCCAGTCCGTCGTGGAGTGCTACGAACGCCAAAAGCGAGCCCGCGCAAAGGTTGGCGAGACAGCACACAAGCAAGAGCCCCCATCTTGAGAACCGCAGCCCCGGAAGCGAGTAGTACGTTGAGGTGCCGAAAGAGGCGACGAACAGCCACTTGTCGGCATCGAGCTCGGCAAGGGTCTTTGTAGGGACAATAAGCTTCCAATACGCGGCCAAGGTCATGCCGAGATACGGCCGTGACTGGGCGGGTTCTAAAGTGACTGCTGTTTGTTCATGGCTGTCGATGATCGTGTCGAAGTCAAGCAAGAGGTTTTTTTACACCAATTTAATTCGACCATCGCAGGAATTGAATGAGGTTAATGACGGCTTATACCAATATATGGTACAGCGGACCGTGTACCCTCTACCCAACGCTACCCTCTACCCAACGTTACCTAAGTTCTTATACTCAACGCTACCCTCTACCCTATGCTCTATTAACCCCAACAACATGTGATTCAGGCTAGAGTTGATGGTGTTGATGTCCAAAGTGCGAATTATTTCAAGCTCTGTGGAGGTTTGATTTGCCCACTAGATGACTTCAAAAGGTACTAACTAACAAGATGCTCACGAGCAGTGTCGCTCAGCTCAGCGAGCTGGTAATAGTCAGTCATTGGAGCCACCTCCATTTTTCAATTGCTTTGCATTTGCTCAAACCAACTGGAGCATCTGACGTGAATATATTTCTTATTATTGTCAAGGATTGGCACCTCTACAACTTTTATGTTCAATAATGTTCACCAACTGTAAACGGTAAAAGCGACCGATGCGGTAAAAATGTGCCGGAGACCCAATGGAGGAAATTTCGAAGGGTGAGATGGCTTCACCCCTATTTTGAACGCTCTCGGAACTTGTGTGGGTCTCGTCCCCCCACTTTATACTTCGAAGTAATATCACACGTTGAAGGTGACACTGTCCTGTCCTATGGGAGTTAGCAGTGTAATGTTGTCATCATTAGGAATACACTTCACTATCTATACCACTCACTGCCTCAGTTACAATATATTGGTCCAAAGCCGATTCTTGCACTTCCCTAATAATTGCTCGAAAGGTTCAACCCATTTGACCACCAAAAATTCTAGCTGTGTTAATATAATGCATACTAATTACGTCTTTTTCAACATTGTAATACTCGGAGTATTAACATTCATCGTGTGAAAACGAAGGGGGGGCAAAGTACACACATTACATTGCCGCGTATGCATAGACACCGATGAACCATCGCGCCGAAAGGTGAGCCAGCCATGTCACATGGTGTTTACTTGATGACCTTTGGACCTGCAAGTTCAGAATGGAACGAAGTTACTACTGTAGGCTGACGGCACCACAAAAGGCAACAACTGATGTTCACATGCAAACCTTGATCTATTACGCATTGTCTGAGGTGTCTTGGCGGGCTTGCGGGTGCTGAACTCCGCTCGTGCGGACGTGGTCGTAGCCATTCCAAAGCACGAAGTCGTTGGAGGCGGGGGACACTTTTGGCGGCGCCAAGATGGTCAGACTGTCGTCATGGTCCTTGTCGTTGGTTGTCTCGTGACGGTGAAATGCAATTTGCACCATCACTTTGCCGCACACAGAGTACTTGTACCCGTAAAAGAACCGGTCCACCGAGTTGGTTCGTACAAACAACAGCGCGACCCATCCAATGGCCACGACCACGAGCATCCACTGCATCTGATTCCGAAACGACACCCGGGTGACTTGAAAGTCGGCAAAACCATACCCGACAATGGCCGAACGAAGCGACCAGCACGTAAACACGAGGCCGTACATCGTGCCCGCGTGATACACGCCAAACATGTCGGTGACGAAGCACTGAATCAGGGCCATGCTCCCCCCCGATCCGAACACGTACGTGAACGACAGCGACCGGACCGACTCGAACGTCATGTTTTCACTGGACAAGGCGGCCATGGACCCGAGTTGGGCGCTCAAGATAAAAAAAAACACGATCTTTCGAGCATAAGCGGGGTTGGCATAACACACTCGAATGATTAGGTCCGATATGACGGGGATCGTCAGCTGCCCCGCGAGGTTTACAACTACGCCAGACCGAGTGAGGGATATATATATATATATATACGATCGAGGGGGGGGCGTACTTAGGCCCTGGACTTTGGAAGAGTTGGTCACGTCCACAGATTGGCCAAACACTTTGGTGTTGATGGCTACGAATTCGCTGGAAAACACCATCGCGGGGATGATGCTGGCTGCAAACGCAATGTACATGCAGAAAAAGTCTGTCGAGCAAATGCACTGGACGAGCGACAACGCCTTGACTTGCTGAAAGTAGTGCACATCTGTGCCGTCCAATTCGCCTTGAACGATAGAGTAGTTGACCAACGTCATCCCTAAAACAGTTTCCCCCCACGCACCATTTGAATGAAATGAATTGGGGGCGAGCATGATAGCGTACCGAGTTGGAGGTACTCGTCTTGTACTAGATTAGGGTCGGGCGCTTTACTCTCAGGCACGCCGTGGATGTCGTGGCCGTTTACCGTGAACGAAACGGGGGGCGTTCGGATCACAAGGGTAACGACAATCATGGTCAACACAATGACCAGCCCTAGTCACGACGGAACTGAACTTGAAGCGGATCAAAAGGGGGCGGACGTTACCGGTGGTCCAAAATACGTGGGGGATATTGCGGACGTTCGTCACGACTTGAACGAACCCCCCTCGGTTTAAGAACGCCTTGTAAACGTTCGCCCCTGCAACCGTCCCCGCCCCAAACGAGCACATGCATAGACCCGCTGTGAGGCCTCGGATATCTGGGAACCACTTCTGGCTGGCAGTCATGGTGGAAACGATGGCCATTCCAAACCCCCCGCCACAGAAAAAGCCATATCTAAACACCAGCATAAACACTCAGAGATGTATTGTGGGGGGGAAGGTTTGTACCCAATTGTAAGGAACAACTGCGCCTTGGTCGTCACTGCCAGTTGTGCCAAGGTGAACCCGACGGCCAGCAACATTGTCGCTACCGTCATGCCTATTCGAGGGCCCCGACGCTCAATAAAGGGCCCAGATATGGCGGCGCTGAGTCCCATCCAAATATACGCTTGGTACAACACAGTGACGGACGTTTTGGTTTGGCTTCCGTACATGTACACATCCAGAGCGTCGTAGAGGGTGGAGAAGGCCAGCAGTGTCCCCGCTGCAAGCATAGCCAAACACGATGCAAGGAGAAGGTACCACCGGTTAAATGCCACGCAATTGACGGACGCGACAGAATGAAGCCCAGTGGCGACCACAAAGAGGTAGTGCTCGGCGTCCAACTCCTCGGTGGACTTGGCGCCGAGCGTCACGGTCCAGTATTGAACGAGCCATCGAAGCATTGGGTTTTGAGATAGTGAAAATGGGACTGGCGTGGAGGGTGTATGACATCCCAGTGTGCGGCAAATAAATAGAAAGGTTATCGACAGACGATTGATAGGGAGATGCACTTTGAGCCTGTCCAATTCGCCGATGGATCTCTCGAACTATATCTATTCATGTGATAGTTGAGTCATTTTGTGAAAAAGTAAGTGCTTCCAATTATATTGATCGATTGAGAGCTAACCAGCGACTTTGTTGCAGCTCTTATTAGGAATAGAGAATTCGAGTAATATTCATCGTTTCAGACAACACTACTGTAATAGCAATGCCAAGATCTCACTCTATTGCTCATTCACTGATCGCTTCAGCGAATTGACACAAAGCAGGTCGATTGCTACGATAGGCACCGCAATCAGTCAGTGCCACGCTTCTTATCATGGCATCAATGTTAACAATTGTGGATTTCCGCCTCAATAATGCTAGCAACCACGCCTCCAAAAAAGACGAGCTATATTTAGCTCAGGCAGTGTCGTTAACCTCCAAAACTCGACGCGGGTGACGACAGCACCATGCATCGCGTGAGTGACCAGTTGGAGGACCGATACCCATACAAAAGCGGATTTCGTGAAGAACACGATGCCACCGAAGTGTCCCGAGCGTACGGGAGCCACGATATCGGGCGGTACTGCCAGCTTCTGTCGCTCAAGGAAGATTTAGCCGACGAAGCCCGCATCAAGGCGCTGAGTGGGCTGGCCGACCTGCTGGCGAACCAGGAGAACAAGGCCAAGGCGGTCGCAGCAGGCGTCATTCCGTCCATGAGTCGACTCATGACAGTGTCGAATCCGGACATTCGACTTGGCTCGGCTGCGGTACTTGCAGGTTTGCTTGATGGTGGTCGATCAAAACAAAACAGCCCTTAACTCATACGTGTAGCCATCGCATGGGATGCCGACGGCGTTGTGGCCATGGACAAGGACCCGACGCTCCTCTTTAACCTGAACTCGCTGCTCTTTGACGCCCAGCCAACTTGTGTGGAAATGGCCTCCAAAGCGTTTGTACGACGTACTATTGTCGTGAAGAGTCGTTTTGAATGTTGCGGCTTGAACCATCTAGGTGAATTTAACCACATGTCGCGACAGTATTCCCATCGTGCTCAGCCGGAGCTACATCCCCGAAAAGCTGGTGGCCATGGCCTCGTGTGGAGATGACACACTGACGACTGCTACTGTGCTCAACCTGTACCAAACGTTTGGCCAGCTCACCAAGTCTCACGCGGGCGCCCAAGCCCTCGCCCAAGTCAAGGTCGTGCCCGCCCTCGTCCGCGTGTTGCAAAAACCACTTTCGTTCCCCAGCAAGTTGCTGCGACACGTCGTGCTCGCCGTGTGGAACTTGGCCACGCATGTAACCCAACAATCATCATCCCCATTCCACATTTCGATCTGGACGTCGTTGCTGTAGAACGCAGGCAAACTCGAAGCGATCAAAGCCAACGTGGTGGAACTCACAATTAAAGTGCTTTCGGGGGCCCAGAAGGGCGTGTTTCATTCCCTCGACAGTCAATCCAAGCTGGATCTTATCCGCATTGCGTCTGGCGCGCTCATGGCGCTGTCGACGGCGGAACTGGCCAAACCCAAACTTCTCGCGACAGGCATCGACGTGCTCGTCGGGTGTTTGCTTGTCAACGAGTCGAAACAAAATGCGATTCAGGCTTTGAATTACATGTGCGAGGACCGGTCGGGGCTGCTGCCGGTCGTGGCTTTGCTTCTGGACCACCCCACCCAACTCCTCGTCCAAGTGTTTAGCATTCGAGCGACGCCGGCGCTGAATACGCTGCTGGAGCAGCAGCTCAAGTCGCCCCAATTGATTCTGCAAGCCATCTTGGCCATGGTAGCGCAAGACGGCGGCGTGGATGAAGTCACCCAGTGCCTCAACATGCTCGACAACGTCACCAAGTTGTGCCAAATCAACGCGGACGCGCCTCAAGTGCCCGCGCTCGCCACGCAAATTATCAAAGCCATTGCCGAGGTTGATGGTCTTTTTCTTACACTAATTAACGTTAGTAGTTTGGCTAATTCGTGGAGTAGCATGACGACAAGGCCCGTGCCAGGGTCGAGCGGGCGCTGGAACGGCACAAAATCGCCCCCGCCTTTGTCCACGCCGTGCTGTAACCAGGATATTCCAAGGATATCATTCACGATTTCTCGGACGAATAATGATACAATTGTTTCATTGACTTTTTGTATCAAAACTACCTCTATAAATGCATCCGGATAAGAAAAGGTCGCTGGATGCTGACGTTGACTGTAAAGTACCATATGTGGTACTAGTACTTTTTATAGAAATATATCAAAATTACAAATATCAACTATTAATCGTATCTATTTCAAAAATATACTAACTACTATTAATAGTAAGGAATACTTGAATATTTCTCTCCGGGGTCTTCTGTTATGCGATTCCAAATATAGTATTCATAAATATTCGAGATCCTCGGTTCAATTGAATCCAACCGATCACGAATCTCTCCCATTGGTCAATCTGAAAATGCTTGTCGCTGATTGGCTACATTTTTTTCGTGCTTTCGCGGAATTGGGACCACTGAGATATTCAAACTGTCGTGCCATTTCAAGTAGAAGTATGGCGGTTTGGAGGGTAAATGGGAATACATGGAGCAACTTTCGTGGCAATTACGTTTTGGATATTATTATTATTGCTCGGATATACAAATATATATCATATATATCGATTGCATGAGCTAACATCAAGTACATACATACAGTAGTATGATATTAATTCAACGTCATTAGAGGCAGTGCGGACACTTGTACGTGCCCGAGAGATTCCGGAACGACGGCGACAAGTACAAGCACCTACCAGGGTTGTTAGTTGGTCGTTAGTTGGTCGTTAGTTGGTAGTACTTGAGATGGAATCGTTTGACGCATGCAGCGCATTGCACGGTCGTGGCCAAGTCGTTCCATGTTTCTTTGCACTCAAAGCACGAAGATGCTGACCGATATTTCTCCTTGAGGGGGGTCGATTCTTGGTCCGCTAATAATTTCCATCAATATATATATATATATAAAATTGGCCCCAATGAATTATAAAACAATATATATTCAACGTACGCAAGGCAAGCGATTTCATCGGCGAACAAGGCACGACGTACTCGCGCCGTACTTTTTTCATATCGACGTTGGTCAGTTCGTTTCGCAGCAAGGTTTCAAACGATGAAACGGACGCCAGCGGAAACAAGTGCGCTTCGTCTATGCAATCCCACCTACACTTGATAAGTATAAACAGAGGTACGAAACACATAAAAAACGCGTACTGGACGAGTCGGACGCACACGATCTGGAGTTTGCGCACTAAACTGGTCAAATACGCGTCTTTGGTCGTGTGCTGGACCAATCGGATCGCTCGGTACAAGAACTCGACACTTGTCGCATAGTAATATCGCTCTTGGGGGGTCGTTTGAGACGTCCGGTACAGAAACCGATCGGCCAAAGCCCGATGAATCGCCGCGCCCAGGTCCTGGTGCGCGTAGTGACGTGGCAGCGTCACCGTCGACGTCTTGTCCTCGGCCAATCGGTCGTCAAAGTACAGGAAAATCACCCGCAAATAGTGTCGTGCGAGTGAATTCGATAGCTGAGAGATGTGGTTTAGCACAAGAGCTGGCGGGTTCTGCATGACTCGGCCAAAGTACGCGGCCGCCGCGCGCAGTTCCGACGGATGGTTGCTGACTTGGAGCAACGTCGACTGAATATGGTGTAGCTGGCTAGGACTGAGCTTGGAAAGTTTATTGGCCACGCGTTCGCACTGGTACAAGATGGTTTCGATACGCTGGGTGGTACCTACAGTAGAAATAATATATATTTAAATATATATATATATATATATATATATATATATATGGATAATGACAAATATATATATATACCTCGTTCCCCAATGTATTGAAGTTCGACCACCGACAGATCGTAAAACTGAAACGACACGGCCTTGCGACGACGGGTAGTAGTTGGTTCGTTAGTTGGTTCGTTAGTTGGTCCGTTAGTTGGTGGCGAGTGGCTACACAGCCGTTCACAGTCGACGAGTGGCATAAACAGATGCAATTGCCATGGAAATACGCTCAAATCCAAGCCATGAGCCCAGCACGATGCAAACACTCGGCCTGCGACAGTGTTGGACGCCACCAGGTCGGCTTGGAACTGCTCCACTTCGACTTGGGACAGAGGAATTGTCGTCGTCGTACTAGTAGTAGTACTAGTACTACTAGAACCCAAGGTCCGAGTGGTGGGGCTGGAACGTAGAGCAGTAGTAGCAGCAGGAAGGATCGGGTTTGGGGATACAGTGTCGCAGGCGGGCGGTGGCGGGCCAAGTTGCTCCAGAACGGAGCCACGAGAACGTGGCTGATGTGGGGATACCACGGCGGGGGGGGTCGTTGCTGGCACATCAGGCTTGAGCAAGAAGCCCGACCGATTCTTGTTCGCGGTCGTCGCCTGTGACGTGGTTGAGGGCTGGCGGCGCTGTCGCATGGACATCGCATGCCCCGAAGCTTGTTTCGCTGCCAGTGTCGTCTTCCGTGTCAGAGCTGGTCGAGTGGTGGCCGCCTCCGATGGAAACCGTGTCGCAGATAGAGGCGGCGGCGGCAGCTTGGACTGGACAAGTCGGCTGGAAATGGAGGGTTTCGAAGTACGCTGGGTAAGGGACGACGGCGCTCGATGACGAGGGAAGCTTGGTTTTGACGTAGCAGTATGATCGGTGGATGATCGAAAGGAGGTGGAACTGGGTTGGACGGAAGGGAGAGGCTGCGAAGGTCGCTTGTGTTGCGAAGAATGATCTGTCGACGGCGTAGTAGGAGGAGGTCGTCGTTTGAAGGATGTTGACGCTTGGATAGGAGGAGGAGGAGGGGGACCTTTGGGTAGAGTACGTCGGGTGATGCGAGATGGCTGGGACCGTGTAGGTCGTGTAGCGACGGCAGGACGGGTCGTACGAAGTGACGTGACGAGATTTGGGTTTTCACGGGGGGCAGTTGCAACCAAGTCTACTGGCCGCGGTGGTTGTACCCCGCCGCGTGTCTCGACGGCGGGACCCGCGCCTTCCTTCGCAGCCGCGCGTGGACGGGCATTGATCTGCGCCGACGAACTGCGTCCTTGTCGACCTATCGTGCTAGGCGTGGCCACCTTTCTCGCAGACGATGGCGGCACGCGAGGTGTTCCACTGCTTGTCACGCGACTGTGTTTCAAAGGAGTGGTATACGACAACACGCTGTCCTCCAACGGTCGCTTTGACGGGGTGGGCTTTGCAGTGGACGTCATCACACTGACCTCCAAAGGTCGTTTCGATGGCGTGTACTTGGCAGTCGAGTTCCATGGCGATGGCTTGGCATGCTCCGCCGCCGCTGCCTTGAGCTTCAGCGGCGTCGACGTGAACTGCGCAAACACATCCGCCATCCTACAACCAACCTCGTCTCCGCCGCCAAAAGTGCCGCAATCAGGTTTGAGTTTTTGAATTTCCAACCCTCTCAACTTCAATCCTCGTCCGAATACGGATAAAACTCCAAACATACATACATCCGGATACCTAGTCCATTGTCCGGATACAAGGTCACCACGGTTGGCTGGAATCCGGATAACACGCCATTTCGCACTTAAATATGTCCTCGCGTCGTCACACTATTTAACGGGACTACAAGTCGACTTTCTGCTTTTTGGATGGACTGCTCCACTGGATGGTGGAGAACAAGTTCTTCACTTGCTTCTTGGGCCGCCGGGTGGAGCCGCCAACGGGGCTGCTGCTGCTGCTCGCGACGATGCCTGTCTCTTCCCTGTCCTGCAGCGGGATTAGCGGCGGCGGACTGGTGAGTCCTCCTCCTTCTTGATCTTCTTCTGCTGCCACCACGACCACTCCCGTCGTGTCGTCCTTGTCATCTACTTCGTCGACTACAACGACCATCGTCTGTTCTTCTTGCGCCCAGTATCGCTCTTCCTCCTGAATCGTCAGTCCATTGTGGACTTCTGGCTGGCCGTCCGAGAGCTTGGCTTTGATCGACGTGATCACGCCAGGGTACGCTGCTTCCAACAGCGTCACCTTGGCATGGGTCACGATATGTTGCATGATCAAGCGGCAGTTGTGCGCTTCCGCCGACATGATCATCTCGAGCAACGCCGACACGACTGCAGATGGGTTCCTCGGGCGCACATGGAGCAAGTCGACGATCGCGTCCCAAATGGCCGGGGTCGCGACCACGTTGCTGTAGAACGTTTCATTTCGCAATACACAAGCCCTGAGAAACGCAGCAACGTGCAGTACGCGGAGCTTGTTGCCGCTACCGAGCGCGTCCGTGGCGTACGCGGCGATGGGGATCTTGGCGAGAAGGTACTTGATGCGGTACCCGTGATGGGACACGCACATGGTGAGCACTTCCCACACTGACGCATGCAGTTCGTACAAATTGCCGGTCTGGTCGGGGAGGCCGAGGAGATGTACCCACCAGTGCATGTAATTGCCATGATAGAGCATATGGAGGAACTTGTCATCGCGGCCAGGGACGACGTGGAAGAGGTGCTTGAGGACGTCCAGCACGCCGCCGCGCGCGGCTTCGGCCTGGACGAACGCGACGAGAATCGCGAGGAGCAGCGATTGATGGGGTTCCCAGGATAGGGAGAACGGAATGGAGAGGTCGCAGCACCCGCGCTCGTCCGCCATGTACACGCGGAGGAGGTCGCCGTTTTGGAAGAGCACGAGATGATGCAGCATCTCGAGCACGAGCAGTCGGTTCGTGTCGTTTGCGCGCGTGACGATGGCGGCGAAGCTGGACAAGAGCGTCGTGGGGAACAGCGCGTGATGGAGCGACCCGAACACGGGGTTCATGCCAGAGTAATCGGCTTTGAGCATGTGCGGGACGCGCGGCGTGCCTAGAACAAGATATCGTGAGGAAGACGAAGGATAAGGGGGGATATGTATGTACCGCGGGACGGCGGCTGCGTGATTTGAATCAGTCGCATGACGTTTTGCAAAAGTAGCAGACCCGTCGACTCGGTGGAACGGTCCGCGACGAGAGCGCGCAACTGAACCATGTACTCTTCGTGGTTGGAGATGTACGTGAGGATCGAGATGTTGTTCTCGTTCACGATGGACTCGAGCCAAATCGTGCATCCGTCGGCCAAAGACCGGGACAAGATGTTGTCCTTGATGGCGTCGATGCGGTAGTTGACGTGGATCGCTTGCACAACCTGCGGGTCTGTGATGGGAATGACCTACCGTCCCATGGTGCATTCAACCCCCTGGAACGAATACATACATATATGCATGCATGCATCATGATGAACGAGATTACCTCGTTGAACGTCATGTGGGCCGACAGTTCCTTGCGAAAGCACATCTTTCGAATCGTGTGGGGATTGAATTCGAGAATGCCGACCACGTCGAGAAAGTACGTGTCCGATAGGAGCAGGTGCAGCACACTTGCATCGCACAGTTCAACTACGCAGGAGGGTCGCATAAGACGTCGAAGGGGTCAAGGGATGCGACGCACACAAGGCCTTTGTGATCTGGAACAGCAGTTCCAAGCTCTCGTCGTCGTCAAGGTCGAGACATTGGTCGGCGACGCGTAGGAGTTCCTTGAGGAACTGCGCATCATGTTCGACGATGCTTTTCACGCGGGCCGCTCGTTTCGTCGGCGGGAGATAGGTCGTCGTCAGTGCCTTTCGGATCTCCATTAGGGTGTGCATGGCGGGGAGCGGGAGTGCGTTGGTTGTGTCGGTGATCGACGAAAGGTCCATATCCTTGTACAGGCTCGTGGTCGTTTCCGTGGACCCCCTCTCCATCTTCGCAGCACCAAATTACTACCCACGTGTGATTGACTGACCTCGGAATATAATTATATTAAAATACGTTGTGGGATTGGCCAATTGCGTGGGGGTTTTGCGCTTTTTCAGCCAATCCCATCGCCGTATTTCAAATTCCACCAATCCAATGCACCTCTATAAATATATGTGCGCGTCGGAATGATGAAAGAAACGCAGGGCTTTACATATGAACTAGCAAAAATATGAATATTTCGACACCATCGTTCCGATGGAGAGTAATTCCCTGCGCTACATATATTGCTTACGTAATCCCTTCCCATTCGAGTACTGTATAGCTAGCCCTGGACCCGTTGTATTGATTGCTGCTTGCTATTCCCACGGTGAAGTTACATGACCAGTGGTTCGTTAACCACCGAAATGTCCTTAGCAACCCCCAAAGTAACTGGAATGTAGTGTTTGGGTTTACACTGCATTTGACTATGCCATATCAAGAACAAGTGAAACGACAAGCAACCATGGAAATTGTACGTACAATTCCCTCATTAAAACAGTTCCACTGTTGTTTTGACCCGAAATACTGTTTCAATGAGATATATATGGAACTTTGTATGCTCGAAACACTTTTCTCACCTCTTACTAGGTACTTACTGTAGGGGTTACGTGCATCTTAGTGATGCAGTTAACTCCGGAGATTTAGCATCACTGTACTCATATGTTACGGGTGAAAAGGTGTATCCGGATGTAAAAAAGGTGTATCCGGATGTAATCATTCCCTCTTTGAAACATTAATCGGGTCAAAACAACAGTGGAACTGTATTATTGAGGGAATTATTCTACTGTCAGATGGACCTCGATTACTGGTACATACGTCGTACCTGCTGATGGAGTATGTATGACTTTGATTGTCGAATACAGAGCTGAAGAGAATATGTATTCACAGTACAGAACAGGAGGTTATGTACTCTCCCAAGCTGTACTGTAACTCACTGGTCGCAAAGGTGACTCGAACGCCACACGTTTCTAACACTGCCTGATCAAGCCTCCATGACGACGTCCATGTACAAAGTGGAGGTACAAACAGGGTTGATATGGAACGCTGTACAACTAGCATGACTTGGACTTGTTGACGTGGCGTTTCTCATGCTCGGACATGATTCATCGCGACATGACGATGATGCGGCGCTGTTGGATGGAAGTGGTTGTCCCAATTGCATTCATTGTGGCAGTGTTGAAGCAGCTGTCGAAATATCGAGTTGTAGAGGTTATATTCACAACTGTATCTTGAACCGACGTCGGCGGCATGCTCGAGTGGAGCCGAGATCGACGGCGTGGCCATGAACAGCGCCTGGTAAGCGAACGGACGGCGAGACATGTGAAAGCACCCCCGCAACATCATCGTAGAGACATGGAGCGTCGACCACCCGTCATGAGGACCGCCGTCGCCAAGTGGCCGCGTCTTACTACGTACGTCCACGACATGTGCTCCCACGTCATATCTGACTGCGTGTACTAGCCACACCATAATCACACGTATGAGGACGACGACGAAGGAACCCCTCGTGTTCGTTCCCATCATCCCCCCAAACGCGTGGTGTCCAACCTGGCAGCATTTCACGAGGACGAGTACGTTGACTACTTAAAGGAGCGTCGGGACATGCGAGCCTCCCAGCCGCATGATCGTGGTAGGCTTCTCTCTACCCCTCATGCGATCTAACGGTGTTTAGGAAAGTGGAAGTGCATGGGAACGGAATTCGTCGACGGCGCCGAGCACGCGTCAGCGTTGCACATCGCCGTGGTGCCTCCAGGTCGGTCCATCCCCTCTCTCCTACTCGATCCACCATCATTGGTTGTAGACGCGGCATACTCCATCGAACGGCAGTTTTGGACGTGGTGCGGACGGGAAGTCTCGCTGGAGAAGCTAGTGGTCGACGCGCCGCCGTCCTTGGACGACCTGTCGCTGCATGATGCGGTGGTGGAAGCAACGACGTGGACTCCCGACGACGTAGTCCGCAGCACATCAAACCCTCCATCATCCTCGTCAGACCCATCTCTTCCTGCACCATCACTCGACCCGGTTCAGGACAAAATGGCAGCCAACGACGACGACACGCCCGCCGCCGCCTCCATCATCATGGACCCCCCCCCTGCAACAACCCATACTGTCCACTGATCATGTGTACTTCATACAAATACTAGTACTTCGTACCGGTACAAGTAGTCCAGAAGTACATTTCTGTGGTTCGCGACAGTAGTAGTACTACTAGTACTCCTAGAAAGGTACTACGTAGTACTATTTATAATATAACGTTAGCAATAATAATGTTGCGGCTACACCAAGAATGTGTTCAACTTGTTAACAGTATAGATCGGCAGACAATCGATCGACCAATCAAAACCCAGAACACTATGCAAGTGGCCAATCAAATACGTCGAATTAGTATGTACCGTGGACGACTTTTATTTTGCTTTTCACATATTTTGGCTAATCTGGGTATAAATACCCGATTTTAACCCGTGGGTGACGAAGTTTTAGATTAATTCAACTTAGTTTTAGCTAATCGGAAGTACCTATGATTGGATGAGCAAGAGCTGTTCCTGCAGCATATGTTGCTAACCTGAAGCGTTTGCCCATTTCATTTCGGCAAACGCGGGGGTTTACAGAGTGGATTACCTAATACACGCGAGTGTGATTCTTGACTATGCTCGATAAAGGTTGATGTTGAGTGCTTCTTGCTCGACTTGTCGTGCCAACGAGTTGCTAACAAGCTGGCTGCAAAGCTCGTGTGAGCTGGTGCACTGCGAGCTTACCCCAGTAGGTCATTACTCTGCATGACTGCTTGGCCACGGGAGTTAATAAAACGAAGTAGTTTTAGTAAAACAACGCAAGTTTTAGATCAGCCAATGACAGAACGGTGGGGAAGCTTACTTTTACCTCGAGTGCAACTTCAGTTTAGGTTAAACTTTGGATGGTTTTAGGAGCTAAAACAACGAGCAAAATATGTGAAAAGCACAATACATCCAAAACTCAAAGAATCGATCGATACATTTGGTGAATCAGCATTAAAGTTTAAAAGGTCAATACTAGTACTAGTAGTAGTACTAGTTAGTATGCTACTATTAATACCTACATACAATAGAGCAATCATGGTGCTTGGTACTACTTGGAGCGTTCGACCATGTCTTCGGCAATGAGTCGAAAGATCACGGCACGGACCGAGTCTTCGTCCGCGACGTTGGCGGCGATCATGTCGGCGATGGTCGTGTCGCCCGCCGCGTATAAATGCAGCAGCACCGGCGCACATCCGAGCGGAAACGAAATGGCCGCGGCGGCGGGCGGCAGTTCGTCATCCTCTTCCTCATCTTCGTCATCATCTTCGTCACATGTACACTGACCCATGTGATGCTGGCGGCAGTTGGTCACCGAGTGGAACAGTGTCACAGAGTCGTCCTGCAATACAATGCGACAGTGCGCCTTGTATCGCAGACGGAGGCTCTGGTTGTCCTTGAGGTGGCATTTGCGGATCATATGGGGCGTGGGCGGTAGCCGGTGTTTGATGAAATCCAGAGCGGCCACGTCAGCGGCCAAATGCAAGTCGGTGTCGGTGATATGGTCAAGCATCTTGGCCTATATATATATATATATATTGGTGAAAATATATGGGATCATGTGGACAAGTGTACCGCCAAGTCTTTGAAATGGGTTGTAAATGCAGCGGCGGACGGAGACTGGGACGTTTGGAATTGGGACCCCATAAAGCCCAAATAGTTTGGTGGGAGTCCTAGCAACACAAAACATATTAAAAGCCGGATATATATATATATATATATATAGAATAAATACCTTTTCGAAACGCAACGTCGTGTTCAAATGCCCGGCGAAGCACCTGCGGCAGCGCCACTTCCATAAAGTTAGCCCACGAATTGTGGTGGTAGATGGAGATGGTCACGTGCGTCGAGAACGTGTCGGACGTGGACCTACGTACGCCCCATGACTTATATGATGATCACGTCATACAGACAAAATGATCACGTCATATACACAAAATGATCACGTCAGCAAACAGGATAACGTCATAGAGACACAATGATCACGTCAGCAAACAGGATAACGTCATAGAGACAAAATGATCACGTCAGCAAACAGGATAACGTCATAGAGACAAAATGATCACGTCAGCAAACAGGATAACGTGATCAAACGTGATATGGTGGTTGGTGGAATATGTATCCCAAAATCGGACCTTTGAAATTTCATATTAAGTTGAAGAGGTATCTTGGGGACTACAATACTCCAATCAAACGTTTTAGCCAATCATATTACAACCATTCATTCTTTGTAGCCAATCATACGCATTTGCTCGATGCAACATTGAAACAAACGTACGCTTGGTGGACGACGCCTCTGGGAAAGTACAGCATGTCGCCTTCTTCGAGGGTTATCTCCATGGTAGGGTCACTTAAGATGGACGGGTCCAGGTCGTTGCTGTGTTCGCCAGCAAGTTGTACGAGCGGCGCGTACAGTTTCCAGTGCTTGGAGCCCTGAGTTTGCAAGATGAACACGTCCACGTCGTCGTGGTGCGGGGCCAACTAAAGGGACATCACGATCAGTTAGAGGAACTCGAACGAGAGATGTACGTACGGCTTGGGCATGCGGAGGTGTGAGATAAGCACTCGCGCCGGCAAGACACCCGTAATGAGCTTCCAACGCGGCGTTGATGTCGCAGATCTTCTTCTGGTATCGCTGGGGCTGGTAGAATTGAACACTGTACCCGGTCGACAGCAAGTTGCCCACTTGCTCGGACGATGCGACACCGTCCAATGGATCGTCCTCGGGCGGCTCAAAGTTCTGCCGACTGCCGTCCTTGTACACGGTGACAGTGAGGTCGTCGCTGTGACGGAGAGATTCCTTCGCGATCACGTCCAAGAGCAGACGACGGGTGAACAAACCCGCGCACGATTTGATCTTCTTCAGATGAAGCGGCTTCTTCTCGAAGTACTCGGCGTCGAACGTGTCGATGGACATCCCCTGGAGCAGAGAAGTCAAGACCCTGTTGTTGGCCGCATCCCCAGTTGATGTCTCTTGTGTTGTCGCTTCACTGTCGGTTGTCTTGGGTTTCTTCGCATCGTTCGTCGACGACTCGTCCGCAACCTTGCGCTTGTCCGCGGCGGCGACTTTCTTTGTTCGGGCCATGATTGATTGTGCATTGGTTCACAGTCCAATCACCAACCATGTGTTGTTCCTATTATCCTGGGTACAAAAATATAAATAAGGCACGTTTAACAAAGGATGGATTAAATAAGTATGGTTTAGATGAAAATATACGCATAAAACCGTGGATGTGATGTTATTACAGTAATACTTCGAAGTAGTTTTCCGCAATAATTTAAGCTCACAATCACCTGAAAACCACTCATATTCGACCTGTTTTGAGCTCACAAAAGTGTCTAACAGTAAGTGTTTGATACAATATTTTATGTAAGTTCTGTCCATATTTCAAGATATTTCGAGCTTATCATTTGGGTATTACCCATTTTATGTAAGTGTTTGATACAATATTTTATGTAAGTTCTGTCCATATTTCAAGATATTTCGAGCTTATCATTTGGGTATTACCCATTTTATCCGGATAACACAATCGTTTAGGCTCATTGGCAGACCGGTTTCGAATATGAGCATTCACAAACTGGTATATTCGGTCTTTTATGTAATTGGCCAGAACCGGTAAATAGTCGAATTTCAAGGAAACGAAAAACTGAGTGGCAACAAACATGGTAAAAAGTGTGAAAAACGAGGTACACTATATTGGGGTATCCGGATATTAACCGGATATACCCCTTCGGGAGAACTCGTGGTTTGAGGGATGCCTTCAACGATGCAACAACCCAACGAATGGCGCGTCGAGCGCGATGAAAGGGGGGAGCTTGGTGGACGTGGCCAATTCGCACGTGGTGCACACAGGGAGCGCTTGTCGATGTTCCTGCGACGATGTTGTCGTGCTGCTGCATTCATTGCACATGACTTGGCTACACTGGCGGCAGTGGGCTTTGGTCGTGCCGAACGTGAACGGGCGCGCACACAGCTCGCACGTGCGCAAACTCAAGTGCTGGTGTACGAGGTCTGTGGCGGCCAATCTTTTGGCCACCACGGCCTTGCGAAGCGCGCGAAGCCCTTGGCACGTTCGCTTCATCCAGAGGTCTTCGATCCACGCTGGCACGAGTCCCTTCATGTCTAGATGCACCAAGATATGCACTTGGACGCAGTCGGGTCGGCCTGGAGATTCCAGCACGACGTGGCCGCAGCGAAGCAGGTCCATGCGAACGAGCCCACGGAGGTGGTGGCACTCGGGCAGGTCGATGGACTTGAGTGCGCGCACCCAGCCTTTCCTTCCGTCGCATTCGACATCCATGTGGGTCTATTCTTATGCATGTTGATGAGATCGAACGAAACAGGATGGGTTGGACCCACCTCGACGAAGCAAGCGTCTCGGTTCTTGATAAAGGGCACAGGGGAGCGGACCGCCGCCCATCGGATGGCAATGTAGTGCCGCGGGTCGTCGATGGACGGACTCGCTACCGTGACCAGATTCGCTTCGCCCATGATGCCTGGGACCAAGGAGCGTTTGGGTTGGTGTGAACTTGGAGTAAACATGGACGAGATTTCATCCACGGTCGCGTGCATTGTCATGGAGCTACAGTACGTCGAGATGGTCGATGTTGGTTCTTGTTCTTTGTGATGTTTCTGAGGGGCGGCTTTGGATATGGAAATACCCCGGTCGGGACTGCCAACTACCCACTGAACGGGTCCATTCGTGGGTACGGCGTACCGAACCTACGCGGAAGGAACTCAACGTTTACACATGGGAGATGGATGAATGCACGCACGACGTCGATGGCACTTTTCCTGGCGACCTTCTTGAAGCGATGCTCGTCGGATGGCGAAAGCGGCGCTAAGTACCGGGAAGGAAGCAGCGGCTGGTTTCGGTGCATTGAAGGGATGTTGGTGAGAAGGTATAGATAGTATGCAGTTAGTTGGCAACAGCGACATTGAGTCTTTTTTCTCGATGCCATTTCATATTGTACTACAACACGAAAAACGGACTTTTCTCAAAGAAACCTTGAACTAGTCGTCCAATATACCCTAAATGAGTTGTCTGCATAACACTAAATTTCTCTTGGGATTCACAGTGCTTTCATGGACACGTTCGGTTCATGAAGTTTGTGCCGAATTACGAGAATTCCAAAGTACATACTTGAAGTACTATTAAAAGTACGTAATACTTCGAAGTACAAAGTACCTTTCTAGGCTTTGCCGTCACGTGGGCAAGGCACGAGATGACGCACGACAGTCACCACGACCGTCGTCCATACACCGCAGTCCATCTTGCCTGAGTCTTATCCTTGTCCCTGTAGCATCGTGCCGCCACCGCAGGACAGGGCCCGTTGGTTCACGAGTCTGACTGTCGCAAGGTATCTATGGGCGCAACTCCTGGTTCTGTGCCACGATACATGATTGGTAGTAAGAAACAATCACTCCGATATGGTTCCCAATTTTACAACCTCGCTATTGGCTAGAATATAATCCGATAATCGAATGAAAAATATAGCCAAATCAGGAATAGAATTTTTAGTGCAACCAATCAAGCGAGATAAGTACCGGTCGTGCGAGATATGATTGGGCGGGGTCTGGATATTCGTACCGAATCTAAAATATTGGTAATTCGGTCCAATTAAGAATCGACGCAGGAGGGTGCGGGAAATGACTAGCGAACCTCAATCGAATTCGTAGCATACCACGCAGCTCGATCGCACTGGGTAGCTCTTAGAGCATCTCCAACGGTGTTTAAGTTACGGATATAGAATAGAAATTCTTGCACTATCCGGAGGGTTTGTTGCTATTTCACGCGAAAATAGAAATTCTGCGAGTCGAAATTTCTAAAAAGTCCGGATAGTGTCAAAATAGCAACCGTAAAAACGAAGTTTGACTTTAACCTATGCTTTAGCAATAGGTTAGAATTTACCGTTGGAGATGCTCTTATGTCTAATAATCACAGTAGGGGCTGAGGACTTTCGATTGGCCTAAATGGCTGGTGATGCGATAATTTCAGCCAGTAGTTTGCGGTGATGGCTTGTCGAAAATACGATCATGGTCCGATTTGTCCGATTCGGAAAGTTTTGATTGGCTGTTGCCATTTCGAAATCTACTTTGGCTGATGTTTCGTGACTCTGAAAGTGACTGTCTCAAATATATCATCCAAGTTTGTTGCTATATTTGCTTCAAATATACCGCCACATAAGATCGTTTTTACGTGTTACTGTATATAAAACGTTCTATGCATGCCATGAGTAAACCACTTAACAGGTTTCGAAGAAAATGCTCTTGCATGGAGCAAGGTTAAGGACCAAATCACCAGCGAAGATGCGAAGAACATTTCTGTCAACCAAGCGAATCAAGAACAAATCCGATCGTGTAACATTGCGACAACAGGCATCAGCTCCGTCGAATTCGGTTTGCTAATATGATTATTCCGCTCACCCTCCAGTAATCCGCGGACTGAAGTAGCCAATAAAATTATCGAATAAAAACACGTTTTGACCAATCAAGTTTCACGTGTATCCGGTAATGGAGAAACGAATGATCGCTATCGCTATACTTTGAGTATATTTAGGTGAGGAAAAATGACGTCTCGACGATCCAACCTACTCTTTTCATTAAAGTAGCTTTTTAAGCTTGCGTTTGTAAGGGTCAAAAAGTGTCTTTTGCTTTTAACTATCGTGAAATTTCAAATGACGTCGTTGTTAAAATGAAATCTGATTTGCCTGATGGTGATTGCTCAACAAATGGCCCAGGCTCCCATACGTACACTTTTCAAATGCCCTTGGACATTTTGGATCAGAAATCGCCGAATTTAAGGTACTACGTAGTATGTGTTTTCAGAAATCACGACCAAAGAGTCAAGGTTGTCATGTATGAAGGAAAAGGGTTAGTAGACAACATTTCAACAAACGGCGACGAGGTTGTGGAAGTGACGCAGTCATGGTGTCATTTCCAATACAAATGTCAAGTCATTTGGTCGTGTAGGAGGAACGGCACTTCCACTTAAACGATATACTGAAACCAAGTAGAAATGTCCACTGACCTGCCATGTGTTTGTTTTGAAACGCTTCATTCACACATGAGTATATACAAGTAACCAGATATATTTCGTCCACAGCAGTCAGAAAACTCAGTTTTCAATACTAGTAACTATAAGACGCAACTAGTCTATTCGGCCAAATATTGTTGTTGTGACATGTGATCGAAGGAATACGAAATTCTCTATCATCATGATATCTCACCGATTCCAATCACTAACCTGCAATATTACGTCCCATGTGTCAGATAACACTACAAATACAGCAATGACACAACTATTCTATTGGTTATATATTGGTGTATAATTAGACTGTTGTGGCACCACAATCTCGTTAATTGAGTTTGGATTATCATTTTTAAGACATTCCTCCGCGAGGGCCGACACTAGAACCACATGCACCACAATTCTGGCATGGCGTCATTCGAGAATTGTGTTGAATGATGCAAGGTACGTTCATGTCATACCGGTATTGTGCTTTTCATGTAGTTTGCCCGTTCATTAACTGCGTTAAAGAACCAGACGTTTAAAATAATATCAGCCCAATTGAAGATAAAACAACGCTAAACACAAGTTCTGCATTTCAGCAGAATAAAACAACCCTTACTTTATTTCAGCCACTAACTAACCGAGTTGTAGCACCAGATCAACTTACCGTGAAGCGTATATAGTTTTAGACAGCCTTTTAGTTTTAGACACCCCAAAAGGTTATTGAATATAGAGTATAAAGGTGTTCCCCAGTACCTCCCCCACAGAATGCCTCTTATAATACATATTACCTCTACAGTTTATTTTGCCGCCAAAGCATTGTGCGGCGCTTTTTGACACGTCAATCGACAACCATGGCTGACGTCCACGAGGAGGCGCCAATGCGACGCAAAGGACGCCCACCTTTCAAATACGGCAAGAAAGCTCATGTGCGGCTCTTCAAGAACAAGACAGTAGACTATCACCACCGCATGAACGCCATTCAGCGCGTCGCCTAGCTTGGGATGTCTGCCTTCCTGGTTGGCTACTGTGTCAACGCAACTCCAACTCAACGCGACACGACTAGAAAGAAAGTGTTTGGATGGATTAAACAGAAGGATCGCATCCAGGAGATGGCCAAAGAAACACGGACGTCGCGTCTCAAATGCGCTCGATCTCGCGGAACTGGAACGACACTTCCACCCGCCGAAGAGGAGCAGCTGGCCCGCTGGGTGCTCGGTATGCGGAAGAACGGCGTCACTGTTACCTAGCACATGCTTCGTGTCATGGCGCTGGAGACGGCGATCGACTTGGGACTCACCGAAGACGAGTTCAAGGCTGGTTGGCACTGGGTTCGTGGCTTCAAGCGCCGCCATGGTCTGTCTCATCGCGCAAAGACGAGGACCGGCCAATATTCCAGCCAGGACGGGACAGCTACCCTTGCTGACTTCTCTGAGCGCGTGCTCATGTGCGCCATGGCCAACGACGTCGATGTGATCTACAACGCCGATCAGACTGCCATCAACTACGAGTACCTACCATCGAAGAACCTCAACCTGACAAAGGACAACACCGTGTGGATCAAGTGCGGTGGGAGGACAAAGGAGCGCGCGACTGCAATGTTGCTGGCGGACACGACCGGGAAGAAGCACCCCCTCTTTCTCGTGATGAAGTCAAAGAAGTCCAAAGTCAAGGAGGTTGTCCAGGAGAATCTTATCACGCGACAAGGCTTCGGACGTCAAGTGTGGGCTACCGTTGAGCCACTGCAGGAGCGCCATGACTGCCGCATCTTCGGAAATCCCACGGCTTGGTGGAACTCGGGCCTGTCGTTGGCATTCCTGGAGTACCTTTTCACTCGGCGTGAAGGCGGCCTTGACAAGAAGGTCATCCTCTTGTGGGACGACTTCAGCGCGCACTTTACGGATTATGTCGTGGCCTACACGGAGTCTATAAACGTCACTCTGGAGCGTGTGCCACCGCGTTTTACCTGGTGCTGTCAACCTGCCGATGTCGCTTGGATTCGTCCTTCGTTGGCTTGTGGAAATCCGGCGGCAGCTTCGGAACAGCAAGGCTGCCAACCGCAACCTCAAGCTCGCGGGTCCATCGAGATCTACAATGGTTGAGTGGATTACTGGGGCATAGAACGAAGTACCTGAAAGCGTGATTTTGAATGGGTTTCGCAAGTGCCAGCTCGTCGACGGAGCTGTCGTTGAGGTCGTTCTGCCGGGGGATAGTCTGGACGTCGGTGACATTGCTGATTTGATGGCTGACTCTGCCGTCGAAGAGACCATTGATCCAGCTCTGGATATTGACGCCGTCGATGCCATCAGCTCACCTGAAATTGTTTCGTTGTAGATAACGTATTATCTTACCATTTGTATGAGCTATTTTATAATGTTTCCCTTTGTTGTCTGATACCCCTAACGTTTTATAATGATCCACTCCTAATATTTGAACTTGGGCAGCCCCCAACGATTTCCAATTATCCGAAAATTCAGAGTCCGGATAATTGCCCCGTGGGTGTCTAAAACTATAAACGCTATACGGTACGCAGCGCAACCACCAGTGCATCACGATGCATACCGTATTACCGTATTAGGATCACGATGCATACCGTATTACCGTATTAGGATGTGAAATGGGAGTACTATACATCGTGTAGTCGTAGTGCGCCCTTGCCTTCCACGTACTGTGCTAAGGTTAGAGCAGATCAAGTGTTGTACATGTAGGTATGGCATCGCTTTGAATCATTGGACAGCGCGACGACTACATATATCCTAAGTATATCCCTAACGTTATATACATTACTCGGAGTAGATAATGTTAGTACTGTAGTGATCATGGATGAGAGGTCATATATGTGGCCATAGCTGCTTCAGTTTCATTGCGGCAAGCACCTTGACGTGTTGACGTAAAGTAAGTTGTTTGCCAGAATGAAAACGGCAAACAACTTGTTTTACGAAAGTGTCTGTAAAACCACCTTCAACCCACCAATCATCGCATTAGATGAAGTAACTTTAAACAACACACCCAACCGTAATTTAAGTTACTTTAGACGTTATTTAAGCCTGATAAATTTTTGAACAATGAATTTAACCCTGGAATTGCCAAAAAAGGTGCAAAGCACAATACATCTTCTGCTCGGTGTTCGTGTCATGCATGTTCTGCTCTATGTTTATGTCCATGCATGTTCTTCTCGGTGATAGGATAAATAGAAATCTGAGTGGGTCCAAAGTGACGGACTTTCGAAATGCACTGCAGCACACACGGGGAGGCTTTGCACACCGTGCCTACTCCGACAATAAGTTACTCCCTGCGGTTTCCTTAGCTCTGACTACTCAAGCAGTGCACTGTAGTTTTTGCTGCGTACTTCCTCTGTTCCAGGTTAGAGCATCCCCACTCGTGGCGCTAAAACTCCAAACTGTATTTTTTCAGTCAGATTTTAGCGTTTTAATTCTCCCACCGCGGGACTCTAAATTCTGGCGTCGACGCTATCCGGCGCGCTAACAGTCAGATTATTTGTCAGATTTGACCGATTGGTTAGAGTTCTGGCCAGCATACAATTAGCAATACATTTTCATGTGGATACAATTCCCAGCACGTTTAGTATTACCTGGTTGCAATGGCATGACGCCATGTCGGCCAAGTACAGGTGCGTGTCCTCGCGGCCCCACATAGCGCAAAGCGCCGCTCAACACTAAGTTAGAGTGAGTCCATGAGTCCTATCTTGTGTAACTCATCAACGCGACTGCATGAGACGTTTGTATGGTGAAGGATGACTGTCAGCATTGGCCATGGCGGCAGTCGTCCATCGGCATGTGCCAACCTCGCCGACCGACGATGCTAACCTTACGGTATTGCGATTCTTGTAGGAAGCACACTGAAAGTTGGCGCCTGAACAGATGCAAGGACGACCAGGTCGCGTGGAACCAGCGCCTGCATGCGTTGCCCCAGCACTGCACCCGCTGGCTCGTGTACGGTGTCCACAGTGCCTGCGATGTGGGCACCGTACGCGAGCGAGCGGGTACAGTCTCGACCAACCGAGCATGCCCCTTCCCCCTCAATTGCAACTTTTGGATTTCTGTTAACGCATGCGTAGACAATCAATCAAATATTGTGTATCTGTTCGTTTTCAAGCGCATGTAAGCGTAGACGCGATTATAGGTCGCAACCGGCAGCGGAGTGCTACTACTGATGCGGCTTTCTAAGCGATATTCCCTGCTAGTAGTTCATTCACTGACTTGTTGGCATGCTTTACCCTGAACTACTTTTATCCAGGCGATTCTGCGGCTTGGTGTCGTGCATCCATGCGAATAGAGTTCAATCGCTGTTTGGCAACCGGTGTGAAATACTTCCTCTGTCCTTCTTTACTGTGACCACTTCAAGATTGCACTTTTCCCACAATACTGCGACCATATTGTTGTGATTGGTTGATTATGAAATACATACATTTCATTGGCTATAAATCTTATCGACTCAAGGACTGGACTGCTGGAGGAATGTGTTCACGTGAAAGAGAAGCGAAGCAGGATATGTGACGTTCGCCATGAGGGTTCCAGCACGTCTCAATGTATCCTTCTTCAGGTGGGGCAACTTGAAGTTGTTGTCGCCGTGGTGTTCCATTACAAGGCGCATCACCGCCTGCAGGGTAAGGAAGATGCTACTTAACTTATCACTAGAACCTCGAAGGCGGACAATGTAGCTTCGATCACATCGTCCATCGACCGACTCGCCATCTTGTATTGTAGTGCTTGAATCGATGTGAAGAAGCCGAGGTCCAGGACGTTAAGGTCCGGACTATTTGGCGGCTGTCGACGGACCACAAATGTCCACCCATCCGTCGACACAGCAGCCAAGGTGCCTACATCAATGGACCCATGAGGAGTGGCATTGTCATGCTACAACACAACTCGTTTGCTTCTGCTGGGGAATCGCTCCTTGATGGACGGCACGACCTTGGTGATCACATAGTCACGGTACGTCTTCCCATCCACGTTGACCAACGCCGTCACCAATGTACCAGCAGGACGATTGCGGGAGTTTCGACGGGCTGGCGTTTTCTCAACAAGCTTGCCGTCAAAGCCTTCGTCAAGGCGAGGACGGGCCACGGCCGCCAAGAACTTCACTTTTGGTATGAAGCGCTTTGACTTGCAGGCACGACGTTCATGGACTTCCCTTCTCGTCAGGTACGTTTTACGGCAGTCCTTGTCAGCATTAAACCATTTTTCGTCGAGATGCACCACGTCCCACATGTCGGAGAAGTCGAATTCGGCGGTCCCAGGGGATTCGGCAGGTTCGCGGGATTCGACCGCGCCGGCAGCGTCTCTGGCGCGACTGCTGAGGTAATCATTCATGACATCCAACTGAATGTTTACGTGGTCTCTACAGAATGCCAGTCGCTCGATCTTGTTGGTATCAGTCAGTAGCGGTTTGAGTCGGGACGATCGACGGTTGATCGTCCCAGACTTCAATTGGCGGCAAAGTGTGCTTACGGAAATCCCCGTCGAGGAAGCCATGTCGTGCATGGTGCTGCGATCGCGGGCCGGCACGCTACGAACGATTTCGGTGACCTCAGCCGGGCTGTGGCGAGGTTTCGGTCCGACACGCCCTTTCTTCTTGGATGCCTTCGACCCGCTCTTGAAGTCGCGCCATATCTTGCGGACGGTGGCGCGACCGGCTTGACAGCGAATAGCTGTGGCTTAAATGGAACCGCGTGCGAGCTTGCCATTGTGTATGGCATCTTGGAGGGCAAACACGACTTCCATTTTCATGCCTGGGGTGAGTTCCCGTGTTGACCGCGGGGCTGGGCTCATGGGCGGCAAATTCAAAATTGAGGCTCATGACCCAGAGTTCTTAATAATTTTATAAACACTTTTTAATAATTTTCTGACGGCGTTTAGTCTCCATTGGTTTTTACTCCCAAAACCTGGTTTTCACCCCTTATCGGCAATAGGCGCTATCTCTATATTTTGATTGTCGAATTTTCTAGATGTCACTCGTGGAAGTCCGATAAAATATGTATTTTTGGGGTCGCTCGAAGTACAAATGGTCACAGTAAAGAAGGACAGTGGAAGTATGATGAAAAACGCTAAATTATTTTGCGTGATCCCACTTTAGATCTGGTTTTAGAGTTTTGGGTTTAGCGTCAGGCGTGGGGATGTTCTTACTGCTGACATTTACTTTGAATTGACACAGACAATCGAGCCCTCACTCAGTCAATTTGGTGAATGATACTAGTACTGAGTTTGAAAGGGAATTGCATGAATTTTCGCAAAAGATTGGTTTATAAGTAGCGCTTAAAGCAATTGTAAACCAATAAAACATCATAAATATTGGATATTGAGAAAAATCGAAGAATTACAGCCAATGAAATGCAAATGTCGCCAGTAATTTGGAACATGCGAATTTTGAAATGTCGACAGTACAGTAACAGTAGCCTGGAACAGAGGAAGTACAGTACAAGCGGTTTACAGTGTACAACTATTCCCTCTACTTCGGTCGAAATAGCCAGGTGGAATTTGCATAGTGAACTTCGTGTGAAAATATAAGTGATTTTTTTCACCTACCTGCGAAAATCCTTTTCAGCTAGAGAGTATTTCCATTATATCATGGAATATTTGTGTCGTACTGCGTATAACGTGAATCTGCGTCCATGGTAGCCTTGGTCGGATAATCAACCATAACTGTCAGCATGCTGTTAGCTTGAAAGCTAAAGCTACGGCCAAGCCAGCGAGCCTAAACTTGAATGTGATGGAAGCTACCCCGACGGAACCGAATGGCATAGCCCAATCAGGAGCAACTATGGAACACACCAAAGTGTCGGCCAAAGGAAAGGCCAAGAACAAGTCGACAAAGGAGAATGCAAAATTGAAGGCACCACCCCGGATCATCGCGGCAGTGCAGGAATTGCGGAACACTACCGCAGACGGTGAACAAACTCTGCCCAATGCGGGGAGCGAAGCCCTGCACGAGTTGTTGCAAAGAATTAAGTTTTCGTATCCAAGCGATTCGGAGGACGAAACCAAGGATGACCTCGATGTGGCCAACCAAATTGACATAAATAAATTCAACAATTATGCTTTTTGGTAGTTATTGTGGTCACATGAACTTCAACAGTACAATTCAGTATAAGTCCTCAATCAAATTGAAAGTTACCTGGCGTTTGACCGGTCACATTCGTGGTTGATTGCGCTACACCATAAAATGAGAAATAGAACTCGTACAATATATACAACTGACCTGGCGTTTGACGGGTATTTGTCTTGGCTGCTGAAGCAAGAATTTAAAAATGATTAATCCGTCAAGTGCAAACGTACCTGATAGCTGACCGGTCGATGTTGTGGTCGCAGGAACGTCAACTACAAAGAATAAAGTGTGCTACTTGCAAACAAATCATATAGAAAATTACCTGGCGTTTGACCGGTCGCATTCGTGACTGGTGGTTGGCGGGATGTTTTCGTGGTTACTTGAGCTATAAATGTAAAGTATTGTTTTCATTCGTTAGGTACCTCAAGGCACCTATTCGAAACCATTTAGCTAAAGTCAAACAAAAAATGACCATGGATTTAGCAGATCAAAGTCCAATTAACTGTAAGTTGACAATGAATTATGATTAATGATTTGACACGCCAATATCCAGGTAAATTCATTTGACTGGCTGGTCAAACACTTTGTTAATGACCATGTGTTTGGCAGGTCAAACACTTTGTTAATGACAATGTGGTTGGCAGGTCAAACACTTGGTAATTACACTACCTGCGTTGACCTCCAACATCTTCTGGCCAAGCAGCTCAAAGGTGTCCGATGAATCAGAGCGAGCCATTCGGTACGCAAGCCCCTCTTCAGCTTGGGTAAGCCAAAGCCCCTTGGTGCTTCTGATGTTGGCGACGATGTGTCGCATGCAAAAACGATGGGGACTTTGCGGACACACAGTGTTGCAAGCATTTATGAGTCCTATTTTTTTAGTCAGCAAGTATATGTATACATGTGCTCCCGCTTTTTTCTACTTTCGCAAATCTCCCAGGATTGTGCTCGACAACCTTGGCAAAATAGCCCTCCAGCTTTTCGAACGAAACGTCCACGTCGCCGTAGAGAGCATCTGGACAAGCGTCATTTTCGCTTTGCTGGCGGCCGATGTCGATATGTCTTGGCCGTACTTTGCCTTTACAATGCGGCAAATTATATACTACTGACCATACGATTCGCCAATACATTGGATAACACAATGATCTGTCAGTTACTGTCAGTTACAAAACTACGGTATGTGGAAAGAATATATGACCAGTCATAAACATGGTCAACGTAAGAACTCGCCAAACATAAGTTAAATGTAACGACCCACCAAACGTGGGTCAACATTATGACCCGCCAAAAAATCAGAATGACCTGCAAAATACAGGAAAGTAGCAATCATTTGTAAGCATATATAAAACAAATGAATAGCGTATAGGACGTAGTGCGATTAATCTAAATATAACTCAACTACTTGTACGATTAATCTTACCAAGTCGTGTCAAATGCCTTGATGATGCCGATGCGGTTTGTTGTGGTGAAGGGCGTGGTTGTGGGCCAAGTTCATCGATGAGACGAGCACTTGATCGTCGGCGTGTCTTGATGCTCGTAGACTGAAACAACATCCGGCGTGTTTGCAGCCCCATGCTCCTGACTTGGTAGAGCGCCGCTCTTGCAGGACACTGAAGCCATGGGCTCAGGCTAGGCTGTCCAGACACTTACGTAGGTTAACGAATGTACAGAAGTCATTGTCAATGATTGCGTTGAGCTGTACACATGTTCTGTACCCAGGGGCCACTGTTGGAGGCACGGTGAACCGCAGAGTCACAGCCATCGCCAGGTAGTCTTCGCTGATTATTTATGGTCCGTCATTGCGCAATGGACAATGGGTGAACAGAGGAGTAATCCAGATTGGTGATTTAAGGAAATTGCGCAACCATACTTTCCACAATGATTTCGCAACAACACCGTCGGTGTTGTTTCGAAGGAATTACTCCAAGATTGATCCTTACGTTTCCCCCGACTCTTTGGAAATGCAAGCGTTCAAAGACCTCTTCAACATTGTATTATCAACTTCTGATAATCGAAATTGACCTTTATCTAATAAATAGCTGTAATAAATACTGACCAAACAAATAAAGGTAATTTATGAAATGATAAACCAGGAGATCTCATATTTAGAGCCATGGCAATTGTGCGCAAGTACGGGAAGCCATGCCTCTTCGTCACCATGGCGTGCAACCCCAATTGCTCGGAGAACATCAGTCAACTCAAGCCCCATCAAATGTCAGCTAACGCGATGACATTGTCACATGCGTGTTTGAGTCGAAGCTAACGTATTTCGCGGACGATATCCACAAAAAACACGTCCTTGACAAGGTTGTCGCATCTGTGCGTGTTGAAGAGTTTCAAAAGCGTGGCTTGCCGCATGTGCGCATGCTCCTCATCGTGGAAGAACAAGACAAGTAGAGTTGATGTCATCAACTCTGTGGTATCCGCGCGCATCCCAGACGAGATCAAGAACCCCCAGCTGCACGAGTCAGTGAAGAACTTCATGGCCCATACGTGCAAGCATGTGCAACGACAACGGACAGCCGATTCCATGTGCGAGGGCTTGCACCGACAAGACCGGCAAGTGAAAGAAAGGCTTTCCACATCCCCCTGCAAGCCACCACAACCGAGGGGGTCGATGGATATGCCAAGTACCGTCGCGACACGGCCACAGACCAGTACTGTATGCCAAACAACCTCCTCCCAGGGCCTATGCAACGGGACAAAATTGCGCGTCGTCAAAGTGTCAACCAAGTACATCGAGGCGACTATCATGGGCGGCGCATTTGACAACAAGCGAGTCTTCGTACCGCGCATCACCTTAATCGACGAGGGCAGCCAATCCAACCCCCCTTTCAAGTTGAAGCGACGCCAGTTTCCAGTGAAGTTGGCACTTGCTATGACCATCAACAGGGGCACGTCTCAGGGCCAAACGTTAAGTCGCATGGGACTTATCTTGCCAAGCCCCGTGTTCTCTCACGGACAACTGTATGTTGCACTGTCTCGAGCCAAAACCAAGGCTGGGATCTCGGTGTTAGTGCGGGACGGCAAGATATCCGGATTCGAAGGAATCTACACCCAGAACGTCGTGTACCGATCCATTTTTGCCAACGACGAAAACTAAATACTCCATAACACGGAATTCATTCTTTCTAATACCGGTCACATATCCATTCACATGTCCATTGACATGATGGTCATGAGCAAAACCTGATTCTTGCAGCAAATAAACTATTCTGCATCATACGTACCATACCGTATTTCCCCTATCGTATCATCTACCATCATAGCAAATGTAGGAAACCGAAGATATTTTTAATATCTACCCAACATGTGCACCCAAATATTGTATGCATCATTTTCTCACCGCAGCGTAGGTGGGAAAACCTACTATTTCCAGAAGCACATTGTCCTTCACATGAAGTGTCCCCGGACGGACATGTCGTTCGTAGTTTCATGCCACACAACGCCACGGTAACATACAATCCCCCGTCCAAAGTGTGTTCGCGGATGTGTTGTTCGTCACGTTGTTCAACACAAATATGTACAAGTCCGAACCCTTGCTGTATTAAGCGAAGCAAATCATCCTGTACATCAAGTTTCTACAGCATTGTTTTCCTCATGTGATGCTACACAACACGGCGATAGTTCGAAAACACTACTACTTCAATGACGAACTCCTTACGAAGTGTATACGGAAGTACTGTTCGCCACATCCAACACGGCGGTCGTGCCTGCAAGATGGGTCGAC